CCCCGCGGCGCCCGAGGGGGGCAGCCCCGCGCCCGCAGGTAAAGGGGGCCCCGCGGCAAGCGCCGCACCAAGGAGCGCCGGGCAGCGGGCACTGCTCTGCTCCGGAGCTCCCTCCCTTCCCCCCTGCCCCCCGTGCCTTCTCCTCGCTTTTGTTTTGCTCTGTGAGAAATACCAAGCCGTTTCTGCTCCTCGAAGGGGTTTATACACATTAGTAAATCTTCAGAGTGAAACTTTCCCCTCAGCCTTTGTCTTCATTGCCTTAATGGCAGCTATAAATTACCGCTTTCCTTTCTCACTGGAGCATCAGGCTTCATTGCTTTTGAAATGATCAAAGTTATTCTTCCTTTAAAATCCAGTGAGAAACTGCCTATTGTGGGGCAGGGACATTTTCTGCCCAAGTCAAACTCCTCCATAAATGCATAAAGCTGCTCCCTGAACACTCCTCAGCATGGCACCCCAGGCCCAGGCTCCTCTTGCCACAAGAAAGTAATCAAAAATTAACACTTCAATCATTTCTATGATTTTGTGACTAAACAACCACAGCTACAGTGGAAATTCTCCCATCCACAGCGCTTTCCACTGATGGACATCAGGGTGTCCTTACAAACAACTGTTCTAAATCACCAGAGGAGCAGTTACCCATCAAAGCTCATAACTATGAACTATCTGAAAAGCTGTTTAATATTTCTGGCACTTTCCATTCAAGATTTCTTGGAAGGAACTCAACCAACATTACTTTGATTAAAATTTCTATTGCTATCAGATACAACAACAGATAAAATCCCCTCAAAAAAAAAATAAAAAAGGCAAGAAACTAGTACAAGTCACTTACCTGATTCACCAATGATTTCTATAACACAGTAAGAGCAAAGGTTTGTAAAACACAGCACAAAGCTTGTTTAAAAGCTGGAAGCTGCCAACTTTTCACTACCACCAGTGCCACTAGCATCTTATTTGGAAATGCCTGAGCTGGATCAAAAGATCTCAATAGGCAGCTCTGAAAATAAACAGGACAAATATCAAATATTAAATTTATGTTAGTTAATGAATTTTTTCCCGATACATAAGTCTTAGAGTGCTTTGTGAAGGTTAAGTATTGGATGCTAAATTTTAGTTTTGATTATGATGAGGAATTGCCATTAACATCTCTCCCTACAGACAGAAAACAGATAGAGCTTAGACTTGAGTGCAGACATCTTTTGACAGCGTTCTTTAATGGGACTATTTCTATGAAACTGCAGTCACAGACATGAAGAACAGAGCACAAAGGTCAGTACTGGTACTAGGATCTCGATGCTTGTACAGCGAAGCTAAAGTGGTTGAAGCTGTGCCTTAAAAAAAAAAAAAACTATGATTAAAAAAAAAACCCCAAACCCATAGGCAGTCCAGCAAGAAGAAGTCACATAATTTTATTGAGAGGGGAACAGCTTACAGTACTGTAAGCTTGTACAGCTTACGAACCTTTGCAAGCAGTATATGTAAGCAAGATACCCACACAATTATACATACTGACCCCTCCTCCCCAAAACAAAAATAGAAAAAAAAAGAAAGCAAAAACACAATAGAGAGTTTTACTTATAGTACTATACAACTTAAGTCTTGGACTGCAAGGGATGCTTTATGCTCTGTATCCCTTGTTAAATTTTGTAACTATAAACAAACATTTAGATGAGGAAATCTACATTGCTATTTCATTCCTACTTGAATCTTGTGAGATCTAGTGGGTCTGCAAGGCTGAGTAACAGGGCAACCCACTGACCCAAAATGTAATACAACTGAGGAGACACAAGTGTTTGTGACAGAAGCCAAAACCTCAGCAGTGGCAGAAAACAAAACCAACCAACTAACCAAAAATAGCAGTACTAAGAAAGGGAAAAGAGAAAGGAAAAGACAGAAAAGTGAAAGAATACTTTAGCATGCCTATCAAGTCTTGAACATTGCTTTTCTCTGAGATGAATCACTCTGATCTTAGTATCCAAGAGGCTAATCAGATTGTGGGGATCAACACAAAATAACACAGCTTTAGCAATCAGCATTAAATTTGGCAATTTAACAGTTGCTTTCAGTGGGAGCAGGACGAGCACAAGCATATGGCTTATCTCAAGCACAGATGTGATCTTGAGTAATTTTTCCACAAGAACCTCTCATGTAATTTATACTCCTTGTTTAAGTCTTTCTACGCCACTGGCAGAAAATCTTTTCTGAAATAAACATCACATTCCTTGACTATATTTTAAATGTGGTTGGATCTTTATCTTGGAATACCACTGTCACTGAACTGAGCTAAGAACTTTGTTTATTTCAGGGCTGAATATAAAATGTTTCATGAATGAATATACATTTTTGAGTTAATAGAAACGCTCCCCCCGCCATAAAACTTTTTAGACAGAGCCTGAGGTGATGCAGCAATCTGAGATCTATGCTTCTCTAATAAAAAGAACTTTTCAGTCACCAGTTATAAGTACCTTTCTAGACACTGTGTGCTGAGACCAGTCAATAGACAAATGTTAGCCTGACTTGTGCTCAAATTGTGCTCACTGAGGCTAATAAACATTATCATTTATCAAATTACCTCAGACCTGACATATGGAAGAACGCTGTGAAGCCAGCAGTTGCTTAACACACTTTACTTACCAAGACCTGTTTTTTTCTTTGCTCCTTCCACTTGCAGGAAATTACAAAGATTCGAGACCATCAGTGACGAAATAAATGCTTTTCGGAAATCACATTTACCTCAGCTTCATCCACATCTCGATGATGCCCACCAGCCATCCTTGGAGAGCCCTTGCAGTAGAGCTAGGA